TAGCGGCCAACTAATTCCCGAAAGGAGTCATGCTTACTCAGTTAAAATACATAAAGTCAAAGAAATAATTAGATAGTCGAAGTACCTAAAATTTAAGATTATGCAAATATGTTCCCTTCCCTAGTGATTTAACAAAGTTATTTATGCACTACAGAAAAAATCCATCATAGATGTTCAGACATGAATGAAACCTATCACAAAGCTCCCATACCAAATGTAGAGCATTGAATTGTAAGAACTAAAAAAGTAATTAAAAAGTATACCATACAAATAATCATTCATCCCAACTTTTTGACTACGGGGAGCTCCAATTCTGGTAATGAAGGTAAAGGATCCGAACATGCACTTATACATGTATTATCGAGAGTTGCACCATGCAAACATACAAAACAAGTATCCACTTCTAACGATTGATAATCTCTTTAACCAACAAGAATTTGGGTGTTTCCAAAATCATTTTAAGTTTGGGATTATCATCAACTAGAGGGCAAAAAATATGATGTGATGAAGATAGCTTTGAGGACTTGTTACTAACACCATGAATTTATCATAATACACTTAAAGTGGTGAATGCCTAGGCTACGTTCACGAACATAATGCACAAAATATTTAGGATGTACTTCAATCAATTCATGATATGCCCTAAACCTTAATGATATTAGAAGATTATGACTTGTAGAATCAATATTATCCCAAAAAACCGTGGTCTCAAACTTCCCAATGAGCAATCAAATGTCACAACTATTATCCAAGAAAGCCATAATCAACTTAGAGAAACTCAAGCAGCAGGTTTGATGTTAGCCAAGTAGATTCACAAGGTTAAAAAAAGAAACCAATCAAAATTTCATCCAGATAGAGGAGAGCTAAACATATTTGAAAACTAATTAATTGAATTGAGCAGTAAAGATTGGAGAGAAAAATCAAATATCAAGCACATTGTTCATCATTCATGTCAACGCTTGGAAGTACCAATATCTGAAGGCTAATTTATACAGCAAGGAAAAAAAATTAATGTTCTCCCCTTTGTAAACAAATGCATAATCAAGTGTTTAAAGTTGAGTACTAAAAATCAAGTGGAGCACTACAAATTTTATGAGTCCCCATGTAAAAGTAAGAAGACAAAAAAAATGGTTTTCATTGCAAGGTTGTTGAAGCCATCCTATGTTCACAATGCAATTTGGGTGAAAGTAGATCAACTGAAGAAGATTTCTCATTTCCTATCTATTCGGCGAACACAAAATGCATCAACTTACTTATTGTGAACCAAATCATTCAACTACACAACACGAAAGACCGTCATGTTAGATTGAAGAGGTTGATTTACCTCAAGATTGTGGAGATAAATTACAGTTGCTTTAATAATGCAGCTCAACTTCAATGTTGATTTTCATCCACAAATCAATGGACAATTTAAAAGGATTATTTAAAATTAAAAATATCTAGTTAGAATGTATATGCTCAGTTTCATCAATGGCTAGGGGAAATATTTATTTCTAATGGAATAATCTTAAAATAATAATTAGCAATCCAACAACAACATGGCTTCTTCTAAAGCATTGTATGCGACAAAATGCAAATTGTTAGTGTGTTGATACAAGTCGATCAAACTAAGCAATGATCTAAACACAGATAGTATGTGAAACTAACAAAAAGATCAAAGCCATCAATAAACAATTACAAATAATTCAAAAATAACAACAGAAGCACCGCAACCACAGATAGTATGTGAAATTAATAAGAAGAACAAAGCCATCGAGAAACAACTACAATAAAGTCAAAACCAACAATAAAAGCATTAAAGCTCAAAAGCATCAAGAAAACCAATGGAAATTGAGCATTCCTCAGAAGCATCCTCATGAAATGTATTAAAGGATTCAATCAAGTAGAGAAAATCAAGCCATGGTACATGTCGCCATTCAAAAATGTATAAGAGGTATGATTCATTGCTTGCCAAGTAGTATTATCACTCAAATTGCATATTGTGCATGATGTTTTTCATATGTCATTTCACAGGCATTATGTGTCTGATGTAGCTCACATCATCATTTTGGACCGATAAGATAAGCAACATCAAACAAAAAAGATTCCAATAACAAAGATAATTTGGAAGAACATGGTGGAGCAAAAAATATATGAAGAAAGTTAAAACCGCAATGAGGAGCAAGTATGCACGTTTTCTACATACGTAAGATGAAAATTTTAAGGACGGTGGATTATAGTACCCTGAGTATTTCATTTGGGATTTCCTTTCTATAACTCATGAGGATGGTAGGAAAGAGAGAGTAGAATAGTCATTAGAGTTGATTGACTAAATGTAGTCAATACTGAGTTGAACAAAGGTGTGTCCCCTCAATTAAGGATTGGTCGAGTGATTGTAAGGATTACAAATATGAACTTCTACTAGAATGAGTTATCAAGAAATATGTCAAAATAAGGGGATCTTAACTAGTTCGCTTGATAATTTGAACTGATTGAGTCAACTAAGTGAAATCCAAAAAGACATGAAGGGAACAAGATAGTTTCAAATGACTGAAAGGATTAGCAAGCTAGCTATTGTGTGATGCTAAGGACAACCAAATAGAATAAAATATTATCTGCTTTAAGCAGCCCTCAATTTCTTTGGTCAATAATTTTAACAAAAGATGTTCCCTAATGATTCTATGGTCTAATGAGTTGCCAATGTAATGAGATAAATCAAACAATGCAACATGCACAAAGCCATCAGAATGATAGTGATCTCTAGATATGTATCCCAAGACTCGAGTTGAATGGCATGTGCCATGATTCCTTCATCACCTTTATTTAAGGCATGAGGTCGATAGGGGAAAAAGGTGAAAGTAATTCAGCACTAAAAGCAAGGGGATTGTTTGATGCTAAGAGCAAGGACTAATAGTTTGATACACAAAGATGATATTGTGTTATTTAATCAGGCATTTGTGAGTTTCATCAAGCAAAAAGCTTAACCAGTATGATGTGGGATGAATGATGTCTCTTGGTATTCTTATTTTGACTTATGGATTAGCATGGATGTGTCCAAGTATTCTTTACTAATACACATTTCACTGTCATTTAATGATCTGCATAATATATGCATACTACTTAACATATATATACATATAAATAGCCATACTATGAGTAAATGAATGTTTTATTATTCCCTCAGGCCCTTTACGTTTGCCATATGTGTGTCTGTAAATTTAGGCATGCATGAGTGAACGTAAACAAGTTGTTCTATATATTTATATTAGAAGATAAAAAAATAACCAAAATTAGTCCTTGATTTAAGTGGTTAGATATTAACACTGTGATCGGATAGAATCATCTTGATATTCCAAATTATAAATCAAAAACCAAAAATACGGCCTAATATAATTCATTGTATAACAAATCCAACACTGCCTGCCCAAGAATCGCAACTTGACATGGTCTACACAAGCATTCTAAAAAAACTAGCACAATCAAATCAAGAATTAGCAACACTCATAAATAGTTGTATCCACCGTCCAATAATCAAAGGGACGGATAAATAAACGATGAAGAAAATCGCCGATTGGTAATCAAAGGCAATGACAAAAGCAAATAAAAAATAGAATACAAGGCGGATCGGTTCTTAATGACCTGGACGATCCAAAGCGCGGTGGTGGCGGCTGCTACACCCCAGGTGGCAGCGGCGGTAATGTCTGTCGACTGCGGACGGAGGCCAGGCCTCAGAAACTTGAACAGTCCAGATCCCGAAGCCACCGATCCAATCGCCATGAACACTCGATCCAAAAGTTTAGCAAAACTCCAACGACGAGCAAACCTAGATGGTCGAGTAGACGAATACGCGTGAGGAAGAGAAGAATGATGGAAGGGGCTGTTAAGAATTTGATATTTGACTGATAAATTATCGTTTATTTTGATATATATATATATATATATATATGATTTACACATCCAAGAGGAAGAAGAAGAATGGAGATCTACTTGAGCTTAGGAATCTAATGAATGATACATTGGTTACTTTGGGTAATGACACACAACTCACCAATTTGTTAGCTGGCTCTCTTCCTAGAACTAGGGGCAAAGACAATATTAAATTGGGTCGTCCCTAACTTTTGCACGTTTTGGTGATTTTGGTTTTTGGTCTTACATGTATCTTTATTTTTTTGTGTGTTATACTGTGTAGGTAGGGTTGCCTTTTTGGGCCCACTCATACAATCTATCTGTATCTTTTTTATTTTAATATATTAGCCCTTAGGAATATATATATATATATATATATATATAGATATTGAAAATTATTATATTCTATTTTTATATTATTATATTTATATTTTAATGATTAAATATATTTTTTAAAAGTGTTTCGTACTACAAAATTCTCAATAGCAAAATAATTTTAAGCATTAATTTAATATAATTTTCGAGCAAGCACACTAATAAAAATGTAAGCGATGATTAAATTTTTTGTGTAGAAACTTAAAGAGTCCGACTCAGTCAAAATAATCCACTATAAATTTTAAAATATAGACATTTGCTATTATCCTGTATTGGGTAAGATTTGATTACAATAACTAACAACTACAATTATATAATAATAATTTGGTCACAACAATCATAATTGGGCGCCAACTATAATTGGTGGATAAAATAATCATAGTTTGCTACAAAGAAAATATGGTTTGTAGCTATAACAATCATGTTTGGCTACAACAATTATAGTTGGTGACTACAGTATTTTTATTTAAGTGTATTACTTTCATTCAAATGTATTTTTCTTCAAACGTCTTGTTTTAATTGTCAATTTTATGTGAAGTATATGAGTCTATTATCATAGGATATTAAATGACATTATTTATTTTAGAAAGTCTTACATATATACCGCTCATTTTTCATGTATTAGATATGTATGCAAATATACCTAGAATAAATTGAACAAGCCTGGTTTTCGGGTCATCAGCCATTGATTTCAATCTGGACGGTCCAGAATTCCAAATAAAATTAGGGTTGAGTTATGTGCAAACTTTGACAAACACATGCCAGCCGAACCGCCGAAATCCTAAGAAGAGGAACCGCGAGGAAGAAAGTACTCCTCTTTCTAACCCACAAATCCGCCATGGGTGAGCCCACTTCTCTATTTTTCTCTGCAATTCTTCTTCTTTCTGGTCATTTTTTCTTTCTTTCTAAATCTAGTTTTTGTCTTCATTTTATATTCGGTGTTTATTGCGATGTTTTTGCCCTCCAGGGAAGGTGCACGGATCTCTGGCTCGCGCAGGTAAGGTGAGAGGGCAAACGCCGAAGGTTTCGAAGCAGGACAAGAAGAAGAAACCAAGGGGGAGGGCTTACAAGCGGATGCAGTACAATCGCCGCTTTGTAACTGCCGGTGATCTGCCATTCCTTTTCTTATATTGAATGATAGTCTGAATTTAATAGCTGTTACTGAACTCCATTGTTGTTCTGCAGTCGTTGGCTTTGGAAAGAAGAGGGGGCCTAACTCGTCGGAGAAGTAGATGTTGGAATTTGAAAATTTTGATATTTGATGTTATTTGCTCCTCTTTTGTTCTGAGATTTATTGGACATTGAATCTCATTTGAAGATAGGATACAACAATGTGAAAACCTGATTGTTATTGTGGCTTCGCCCTTATATATCTTGAATCGTTTTTTTATTTTCAGTTTTAAGGCTGTCTCTGCCTTGTTGGTTTAAGATTTTAGTTTTCTTAATATTGTTCATTTGCTTGTCTCAAGTTAATAAGTTTCATAGTTGTTGCATGAACAAAAATTGCTGTCTTATTTAGTTATATAACAGTGATATTGTATTTGGCCATGAATTTGGTTTCACACATAAATATTGAAGAGAAGATTGTTATGAAATAATAATATATTTTTAGATGTTTGAAGGTAAAGTTATAAATTTATGATTTTGCTATTTAATAAGTTGATGACAGGCAAATTGAATGTTAAAAAAGAGAGAGAGAGTGAGAGAATGATGGTTTAAGTTCGTGGCGAACTAAGAATTATAGATTGAGAAATGATTATGTTATAGAAAGGTAGGAGTAGCATCATTGAATATAAAATCCTGAAAAGTGAGCTCTTTGATTTAGGCATTTAGAATGAAGTGTAGAATACCCACCTTATGGTGAAGGTTTGGGCATAAAAATAATTAGATTGAAGGTAAAATGAACAGTGCTAAATGGATGTAACATCTCATGTTCAAGGAGAATAAGGATTCATCAATACGACCTCTAATATTTGGGTAATGCTGGTTGGGTTTGTAAAAAATTAGATCTTTTAAAGCACAATTTTCAATTCACAGTGCTCAAAGTAATTCATAAATTTAGTTTCATGTTTCAAAAAAAATTAAATCGAAGGCAAAATGACTTCATAATATCTTAATTATGCTAACAAAAGGTTTGATTTATTGAAATGAATTTATTGGCACAAATGTTACTCTTTTTAAATTACTGCCTCCATGTATTGGTTTAGTCATCTTTTTGTTGTTTTTAGTGGCATAGAATAAGTGGAGTAATTTTTCTTGAAGATTGGTTAGCCCAATTTTGTTTGGTGTATCAGTACTCCTTTCTAAAGAAATAATATTCTTAGAAAAAAAAAAGAAATATCAACACTCATTTCTTTTTTAACTATATTGATTTTTTTTGCCCATTTTTGTGCCCACCTACTTTGTTCACTCAAATTGCCTATTTTGTATTTCATTCATCTTCTTGTAAACAGGTACTACTTCTATGAACTATTTTTTAAAATCATTTCATACCTTGTTTCTCTAAGTTTTATCATGAAAATCATCATAATTTTCAATGTTGTCGCATTTATTCATTATTATTTTTTGTGTTGTTTTGCGCTCATATCTCTCCTATTCTTATTCTTTTGTATTGTTGAGTCGGCCTATAACTCATATCAATACATCTGCCAACAAGTTTGATTGATCATCATGTTACTTTCATCAAAATTGCTCATCATATAATTTGTTTTAATTTCTATGTCCATATCTCCTAATAGGTTTTGTATTAAATTGATAATATAATAATCATGTGCCTTAAAGAAAAACCATTTGTATGATTATCAATTTTCTCTTTTCTTCATGGCCTGTTGGGCTTTGTTTTGATAATGCATCATGGTGGATTTATGTGGAAGAAAACTAAATTGATTTTCTATTATAAATGCTTTATTTATCCTTCATCATTGTATGACCCTAATACTTTTTTGTCGTGTTTTAATTGTGGATATCATCATCATTCTTAAAAATGTCATTGAATTTTCAATTCCTTGACTATTTTATTATGACATTGAGATCTATAAGATGATTTGTTTTGTTCATTGATTAGAGAAATTAAGTGTTTACCAGTTCTGGCATAGGCTGGGCAATTGCACAATTCGACTATTATTGGGTGGGATCACATTTATTGTTTGTCATGTGAGGGTGTAGTGTGGTCCATCCATTTTTAATAAGAATATGAAATATTTTAATTTAATTCTAGCGAAGGATTGAAATGCGTCATTAAAATATATAAATAGCTATAATCCCTTCATTTTAAACATTTTGAAATTTGGACTGCAGAAAATTTCAAGTTCCGGCCATCATATAAAGTTTCGACATGCCGTGCTTGTGTTATTGAATTCATAATTTACAATCTACTTTAGATCTTTCAATCCTCCCTCTCTTCATGTGCGGGCCTGTCTCGGCCTCCTTAAGTATTCTATTGACTTTGAGTCAGCACCTTCTAGGGTTGGAAGTGGTTCTATTGCCATCAGTTTTTTTCTTACTATGGGTTATTTAGTTCACTTTGAGTGGGACCATCTTAGTTCTTGCAGTCACCAATCACATCTTATTAGAAATAATATCACATACCTTTAGTTACCTATCAATTTTAGGTTATTCCAATTCTCTATTTTTCAAGAGGACCATCTCATCTGCAGTTGCTCATCAACTTTAGGTTATTCAATCCATCTCCTTTAACAAGATAGTTCGTCTTGACGTCTTTAGGTTCACTTCGCTTCATCCAGTACCCCATCAGGGAAAGTCTATCCCATTCATTTGTAATGGCTTACAAACACTTGGCTGTTTAGTCTCACATCCTCTAGATTATAGCTATGATGTCCTCCGTCATCATCCACAACATCTTTATATTCTCTTTGCGACCACCTCCAGGGATTAATTTGGTCGTCTTATATACACAATCTTTGCGTGGCGCCTTTGTTATCACTTTTAGGTTGATCCAACCATCTTCTGTAGCCTTGACAACCTGTTGCACTCAGTCATTTAATATCTGAAGTCATTACTTTGATAATTTGTGTCATGAAGTCCTACATACTTCCTAGGGAAGGAATTGTCTCAACCAGCTTCAATCTCCCAATCTCCATTCTTTTGGTTGCAATGTGGATTTTAAGTTGTTTAAATAGGAGAGGAGGGACTATCCCAACCGTCAATTAATTTATTTCAAGGCATTCATTTTCCTCTGCTAGGGGTAGAGGAATTGTTTGAACTACTATCCTTCATCATTGTTCACAATAACACCTATCAGCTTCATTTATTGCTTACTCAGAAAGTGGTCCAATTTTATCTTCTTTTAGTGGCCTTCATGATCTTCTTATGCCACATGGACCCCAACGTTTAGGTTGTGCTATTTTCACCACACTGGGAGGTTTGATTTGTCTTTTCCCAATCGCCTATTTGACTTTCATACATCATCTGTGTTATTTTTTCCTTTAAGAGGGATTTTGTCCTATTTGTCCCCCATCAACATCTTGCCTTTCTCGTGGCTCCTCGCTTTTTAATTTTTTGAGCATGCCATCTTTATCTTTAAGGAAAATTTATTTCAACAATTAACTGTGGCACCGATAATCTTCCATTATCACGCGGACTACCCCCTTCAAGTTGTGTGTTCCCACCTTTAGAGGAGGTTCAATTTGATTGACTTTAGTCGCAACCATGATGTTCTTGCATCACCTTGTACGCTACATCTGAATCTCAATGCCTTTGTCTTTACTGGCCTCAATCGTCATTATGATGACCTTGTGTTGCTTCGCTTTTTTCACTTTTTGGTAATGTTGTTTGCACCTTAGGGAAAGGATCAAATCATCTTTAGTGCTCTCTAGTTCCATTTAGGTATTCTTCCACATCATTTGCCTTGTCGTGCCGCTTGCGAATCTCAAAGAAGACGTTTGCTCTCGCATCCTATCTTCTTACGCCATGGCCATTCGGGATATTCATGGCATCTTGCATTCGCTGGCAGTATGTAACATTATTAATTTTATAAATTTTATGGCATATCACATTGATTTTGATGATAGCAAATATATGATTGGGTGGTCTAATGTATTTATTGAATGTTTCAAATGGATTTAAGTTATGGCACTTGCTATACAAATAGGGACTATGACTCCAACATTTTGTCATCAACATCTTATAGCTAAGGAGACATTGTTTCAGATGGGTAGCAGAGCTTAGGAATTATGAATTATGTCTCGATATCAAATTGGGTTTAGCTTGTAACTCAAAGTATATATATATATATATATATATATATATATATATATGTCTTTTATTCACGACCTACAAACAGTTGTATTTATTTCATTAAATTTTGATAATGAGTATATAACATATTAATATAAATCAAGTAAATGTAACATTTAAACAAATTTTAATTGAATAATATACAAGCTATGCCTTTAATAAGCTGTTGAATAAAGATAAACATGTTTGTGAATATAAAAAAATATTCAAATATGATTCATTTAATTTTCAAGTTTTTACCAAGCATTCAAATTGATTTAATCATCAATTTATTTATTTTTTCTTTTCAAAGATGGACAACAACATATATTTGTCTGCCCCATATGTGTTAATTCAACTCAGATGAATTCGAACACGGGACAGAGAGGACTTACACCGAAGCTATATGTTGCACTCGATGCATAGCAATGTATAACTTGAATTCGGCTTCATTAATACTTATTCAAGTTGATGAAACCATGCATTGAGTACGATATGTTATCACAAGTCTCGCTTAAATACATAGCTATGTACACAACATTATGTGTGTTATACGTAAGTGAAAAAATCTTCTTCCGTGAGCAATGCCCTCAATTTAATTATATAGAAAAAACTATTAAAAAATACCATAAATGGCATCAATTACATGATAAATAAGTTTTTAGATAAACACACCCTAATTTTAAAATGACAAAAGAAATTTTCATGTATTTGTATACCAAAAAACAACGTTTATATGCCAAAGTTCGCACTCAACATTCCTCGTGGGGTTTGGGTTAGCCAAACCGTCAAGAAGTCACAAGTCTCATCGACATGACTCATTAGGGTGACCTGCCAACCTCACTTGTTGATGTGCTATCTTATAGCAATTGTCGAGCTAATCTGCTGAACTATCTTGTCGATCTAGCAACCAAACTGGTCTAACCATTCTATCGAATGAACTGACCAATCAGACATCATGATTAGTACTGAACCTTTCTCATCTCCTCTTCACATTAGATCATCTCCTCCGCTCTTTTGTAGCGGGATCCGAAAACATAACATATACTTCAGTTATAGTGAGCACATTCATGTTCTTTCACATTTCTTACACGTCTTTCTTGGGTTGTGTGTGCTCACAGACATTACGAGACCCAAAATCCTAAAAAGATTCATCAG